AAGAAAATAATACTGTGAACGATGTCTGAGGGAACTTAAATTTTAGCGATTATTTTTATTGAGGACAAACGCGGTGAAAATTGTAATTCCAACAAGAAGGAAAGAAGGAACAAGGTACACAACAGACGTGCAGATTTAGTCTTCCCTTTTATTTTTACTTGAATTATATGGTTCCGCGGGCTTGATAAAAAGCATCATGATGGAGCAATTTCTAGATTAAGGAGACACGAGGCCGCAAAATTTTGTTTTGCGAAATTTTCACCAGCGTGCTATTAAGAAAATTTTAATATACGCACATGGGACTCGAAAAGGAAGATTAAATGCGTTCTAAATGAAAGCGCGTATAAATTAAAAATATTACGACTGTAATAGCTCCAACAGTTTTCTCTCGAGTTCTCGAGAATGAGTGTGCTTTAAAAACGTCGGGGGTTGAATCCTGGCTTAATCCTCATCCAAGTCGCTTTAGATATTAATTATTTATTGAGGAAAATTAACGGAACGGAAATTAGGTAAATAAAATGCTACAGCATTAAATTATTTTATTTTATTATATATTAGATATTAGTATGTATATCTAAAAAGAATAGTATAGATGTATATAACAGTGTATGTATAAATGTGTGTATATGCGCGCGCGCGCGCGCGCGCGCGCGTGTGTGTGTGTGTGTGTGTGTGTGTGTAAAAATATTTTTAAATGAAAAAAAAGAAGAGGAGTGAAAATTAATTTTTGAGTTTTCAAAATTAGCAATAAAAACGTTTTCTATGTAAACGACCGCACTATCTGGTCGTTTCATATTTTAGAACTAAATGAAAAACGCACTGTATATATTCTTCCCTTCATGAATATATATTCGTTTTGGTCGTCGCTAGGAGCTTCTTCAGTTAATCGACATGTCAAATTCGAGACGTCTCAATCCGCGGGACGTTAATTATTAAGACGAGCGAGTTTAGAGAGCGCGACTCGCTTCCCATGACGGCAGCGTGAAGGTTTCCAGGAAAACGTGCCACGTAAAGGGAGAAAGGGACAGACGGGTCTCCGACGCGCGATAAGCGAACACGAAGTGAAGAAGCTCGAACACGTTGCACCGGGAAAATTACGAGGGCCGTCTCGCGTCTACGTGCGTATCGCGTCTCGACGGGAGATCTTAATTGGATCTGTAAGAGCGCGCGGAATGCGGACGGCGGACGACTCTCGCGTAATTGTTTCCGCACATACGCCGCTACGTGAATCGTATGGCTATAATCGCGTCGCGTTCTTTCCCCTCTCGCGGATCCACGCCAGATTTCTATATCCCCGCCACGTGAGATTTCTATATCCCCGCAAAAAGAACTCGGCGTGATCGACGATGTCTAAAGGGATATAATTGCTGATCCTTTCCGCCCACGTATCTCTTATACGCGCGTGTACACGCAATTAGTCGTGTGGAGTGAATATAATATATTTGTCTTTTATCTTATCTTTGAATTTAACTTTATAAAATAGTCGCTCGTCTCATAATTCACATTCTAAGGAGCTTATGATCATTGCGGCTGTCAGGAGAATTCACCGTGAAAATTAATGTACGTGTACGTAATTATGCAATCTCACGATCTTCGGGGGTTGATGGCTCAATTTTAAACGGATATTCATCTCATAATTCACATTGGTAAGAGGCTTACGTTCACTATACGTCACTATACGTTTAGGAAAGACTACCGTCAAGAATACCGTGTGAATATTAGCGGGTTCTGAATAATTAGTTATATATATTGGAATTGATGATCGAATTTTGCGTGAAACGTTCGCGTCGTGTGCGTACGTGCGTGCGTAAGAGATTTAACGGGCTGAACGTTCAGGAATAGCCGCTCTTAGATACTACGACGTTCTCGTCCTAAGCTGTACGCATTTAAATTCATTGAAGCCAGAAATACAACGTCGAATAAATCGCCGCGACGTCAACCGCGACGTGAAATACGCCCCTTTGCATGCCGAGCGCGGTTCCCTCCCTCGCCCCCCTCCTCTCTCTCTCTCT